GTGGTAGGTCCACCCTGGCCTGTGCTGGGTCCAGGCTCTGTCTTCCTTTATTCTCTGCCCTCTTTAACAGGTTTGCTTTTGTCCTTGTGCTTGTCACCTCCTGAGTGTGCTGTGAAGATCAAAGAAGAGGAGAAAGGGCACAGCAGCACCAGCATCGCCCTTTTAGTAGGAAGGGAAAGCATTGATAGACACCCCTACGTTACTTTTCCTTAGGTCTCATTGTCTGGGACACATTGTCAAATGACCACATCTGGATGTGAGAGAGGCTGGGAAAGCCAACATTCTTAGCGGGGCACACTGCTGCCCTGAACCCAGTTAGGGTTCGGTTCTCAAGAAAGGAGGGCGTGGACATAGGGCACGCAAACACAGTGACTGGTCTGGCTGCTTCTGGTAACCGTGCAATCCCGTGTGGATGGGGATCCGCGAGGACGTCTACTGCAGTATCATGGAGTATGAAGCTTTGTTCGTTACTCAGATAGTTTCCAGTTTCCAAGGGTATTTTCCCTTTCTTTTTTGTCCTTGCAAAAAGAACTCTACCATTATTTTTACTCCTGCCTGAGTAAGATTTTCATAGAAGACTTGGAATAAATTAGGAGTTATTCATGCTGCTAGATATAGCAAGTGCCTCACAGTATTTGGAAGACTGAAGATTGATTTTAGACACATAAGCCCTGGAATGAGAACAAAATAATGATTATCTCACAGCATCGTGGTCAGGATATACCAAAGTAATGCTAACAGGTGTTAACTGTTGCTGTCTTTATGATGATTTCTTCATCCATAAATCATACTTATTCAGTAAGTACTGCGCCAGCTGTTGCTGTAGCAGGTGCTGGGGTACAGTGGTAAGAATGTAAGATACAGTGAATGTGCTCACCCACGTGACTCACCTGACAGGAGATAAGCAGATACACTGGGAAGATAATTTCAAGGAAAGTGATAAAGAGACTTGAGAAAGGGTAATGTGGTCGGGGACAGTCTCTCTGAGGAAGTGATTTTAAGCTGAGAACATTTTTTTCTTGAGACCTAATTCTCTAAATATCCACATTACAAGTAAGATATTCTTGGTGAAAATGCAATTTCTTCTGGGGAAAAACACTATTTTTATCACAGGTTCCCTTTATCCTAAAGGCAGTCATATGAACTGTTATAGAATTTACAGGTTTCTTTTACCCAACAGATGGCTTTCTGTCTAATTCACCATCAAGTCAACCTATCAAACTTCCTCACACAAAATTTACCAAGGAAGTTGTTAGAGTTTGTGCGTTTCCATTGCGTGTTCTTCTTGACCCCTTCTTTGTTGTGTCCCTTGCTGCTGTTCTTAATGTGATAACTCTTCTCCCCATAGTTGAGGTCATACCTCTCCTTTCAGATATGACAAGGAGAGAATTATGACTCCCATCAGGGCTCTAGAGATAAATATGCATTGATAAATATGTAAAAGATCACTTTAAACATTAATTTAATCGAGTGTATTAAAATAGTCCTGAAAAAAAAATACTAAGTAGAGTTCATTGAGAGTTTCCTAGAATGTCGTCCACACAGAACTGCATCTAAGCCAGCAGATGGAGAGTATTTGTAGGTTGGCCAGTTGGTTTGTGGGTTTCGTGTTCCAGGCCTTTGTGACGGTCGCCTTGGTGTTGGATTGTGAGGCGCAGTATGGAGAAGTCTATTTTATGCCCTGTGTTTCTTTCTTTTCTCATAGATCCTTTCATTTACTGACTGAAACAAGCATACTTCTTAATTAAGAACTCGTTTACAGTTTTTAAACATCAATTCCTCAGATTTGTTTAAAAATTGTTTTCTTTTTGTTGGTGAGGAAGATTCGCCCTGAGCTAGCATCTGTGCCAGTCTTCCTCTATTTTGTATGTGGGTCGCCGCCACAGTATGGCTGACAGATAGTGTAGGTCCCTGCCCTGGATCCAAACCTGTGAACCCAGGCTGCCGATGCAGAGCATGCTGAACTTAACCACTAGGCCACGGGGCCAGGCCCCCAAATTGTTTTTTTTTAAAGCTGTGTCTAAAAGCTACCTTTGGATAGGGCAGCTCTCATTTCTCTCTATTTGTCCCTCAAGGTGTTTTGCAAAGTTGTGAGAGCATAATAAGTGTCTCAGACATACTTTCTTATTGTTCAGTAAATTTAATGAAAATTTATTTGAGGTATAAATATTTGTTTTAATATCATCACACATTGGGACCCAGCCTCAGTCAGTATTTTCATGCATAATCACACTGTAATGCTAATTTCTGATTTGTATGTAAGCCTCTTTTCTTAACTATAAGCGTCTTGAGAGAAGAACTATGGGATGCTCCTCTATTCGTTCAGTAAGCATTTCCTGAGCACCAGCTCTGTGTCAGACTAGGTGCTGGTGACACGATGGTGCAGTACACTCAAGCTTGTAGCTTACAGTCTAATGAGAGAGACAAACATTAAACAGATCATCATTTAATTTGTAGTGGAGGTAAAGGCTATGCAAAGTGGGAACCTAACCTACTCATGGAAGTTAGCCTGAGGAAGTCGAGTATAAGCTGTCACCTGAAAGATACGTAGGGCCCAGGAACAAATTTTGAGGTTCTCTGACATTTTACAGTTAACTAGTGGAGGAAAAGCTGGCAAAGGAGATTACCAGAGAATGCCTGTGTGCAGAAGAGAAACTGTCAGGGTGCGATGTCACCACAGCAGTGGACAACACAATTCAAGGAAAGAGCCAGCTGTGATTAATACTGCCAAGACATCCAGTGGGATGTGTGCTCAGTGCATGTTGGGCTCAATGCATCAAGGTCATTGGTGACGTCAGGAGGGAGGTTGATGTGGCTGGAGAAGTACGATGTGAGGAAATAGAGACGGCTATTATGAGAAGTTTGGTTGTGAAGGGGTGAAGTGTGAGCAGCAGCTAAAGGGGAATGTGGGCTCCAAGTGGAGTTTTAGGCTTTTGTTTTCTGTTTTGCTTTGTCTTTGCTTGTTTCTTTGTATAATGGGAGGAACTGAAGTATGTTTAAATGTTGGTGGAAAGGATTCAATAGTTCAGGAGCAATTGGAGTATATGATAGCCTAAAGATCCTGAAGAATGGGTAGTGGGTGAGATCCAAACATGAATGGTGAGGGATTTGCTTTGGGGAGGGGAGAATGCTCCAGGCCTTATGATGGAAAGGAAGAAGGAGGAATGATGGCACACGGGTGAGCAGGCTCCTATTTTCTCAGTAAAGTAGCAGGCAGGCTCAGCTACTGCGAGCCAGAGGGTGGAGGTGAGTGGAAGGTTTGGGGGAGTAGAGAGGGGCTCAGGTGACATGGAAGACAGTGGTTTTGGTAACACCCAATCTGCACTGTTGTGTAATTTTTTTCCCAGGAGAACTTAGTTATGCAAAACACAGAGTGGCAGGATAGTACAGTTGACCCATGGCTAACTTTTTTTTTCATAGTCAGATGTGATAAAAGGTTAGAGAGGCAAGGGAGTTCAGTTATTTGCAATAGAGGGTCAGATACTGGTTGATAGGATCTAAGACAAGGGAAGGGAGTTTGATGAGAGGAGCTGATGATGCGAAAGAAGGGAAATTAGTGGTCTGGAAATTCCAGTGATGTTGAAAACATCGTCGGCAGTTGGGATACCTGAGCAAGCAATCTGACTGCGACATGACTTTGTAGTCAGATAGGCTGTTTGCTTAGTGATTTTGGAAGCATTGCCATTTTGAGTGATGACAAGATCCAGAGGGTTTTCTTTGTGTGTGTGGCTCAGGTAGATTTGGGGGAAGAGGCCAGTGGAGATGAGTTGGTTCATGATCTGTGAGGGCATCATATGGGACAGTATGACCGTGTGGTTATTGAGGTTGCCTAAGGTGACTGGTGGAGCTGGGACAGAGCAGAATGCGGTGAGCCAGGTGCCGGAGTCTTCCCTGGGTGATATGGGGTCACAGAGACAGATGAGTGAGAGCAGTGAGAGCGCCAGTGGCGATAGAGCCCTGTACTGTCAGCCTCAGAAGAGCAAGAGTCTTCAAAGAATATGAAAGAAATAGAGTCTAGAAGAGGCACTGGGAGAAAAAGAGGGCACTGACTTCTTCACCAATTCTGAGGCACTTGGGGTTTGAGAAAATGAACATTTTCTCCTGAGGAAGGCTACAGGATGCAATGTCTCCACCCAACAGCCAGATTAAATTAGAGCTAGGAGATGGAGAAAATATTGAGAAGGGGAAAAAGAAATAGGGAGCTTGAACAGGAAATGGAAGTCTGAGAGCTGGGGAGGGAGAAAGAAAGTATGGGATTGTCAGGGAAATAAGGCCCAGAACAGTATGACAGTATGGCATAGAACATTCTGGGAGCTGATAGCTGTGTGTGTGTAGATGGAGGGGGAAAGCGGGGGAAAGAGCAGACTGAGGAAAATCACAGAACAGAGCAAGGGGGTTTAATCCTGATCATCTTTAGTGATAGGCTGCGTCTCCGGCTTGACAGATTTGTCTCTGGCCTGCAGTGGCTAGAGTAGGGCAGAGTGTGGGTCAGGCAGTTCTTTCTGTAGCTAGCTTGACAGCTACTGGAGTAACATGGTAGGGCCACGTTCGCTGTCTTTGACCTGCCCCATTTGCGAACTCGGTGTCTGTCTGTCTGGCATTTGGGAGAGCCTTGCTGTGGTTGAGTGGGAGCTTCATGGGGAACCACAAACCAGACCTCACCCGTGCGCATTCCCAGCTCATTGCTGTATTGCCTTTACCAGTATTTTTCTCTGAAAGAAATAAGTGAATGTTCTCCTATCTGTTTTTTTTTTTTTAAATTTCTTCAATGCCTATTTATTTTGCTCTGCTCCTGATATTAGTTGCTGGTAGTGTTATCTATTACAGCACTGATATTTTCTGCTAAATAATTTTATAAAACATTGCAAGTACCCAATACATGTTTTTTGGTGATGGTTTGTTTTTAATTTGTGACGTCTCAATGAATATCATTGAAATATTTTAGTTTTTCCAGTTCTTCTTCACTGAGAGTGTTTTCAAGGTTCTTTTACTTCCTGAAGGAGCAAATGATGTGAAAATCCTTCCAGGTCAAGCTGTTTGTCCTACTCCAGGGTGCCAAGGAATAGGCCATATCTGTGGTCCACGGTATTAAGGACATCACAGGTAAATTTTTTTCTTGTTTAAATTATTTCAGGGATGAATTAAAACATCATGCAGGTTAGAAGCTATAGGAAGCATCAAAACTGACTCTGTTGGAGCCAAACACCTCCCTCATACTCCCTTCTCTGTGCTCCTCAGGCCTCCCTCGCCTTTTCCTGCTGTCTTTCAGCCCACCTCTGCATTCCTGGAGCCTCCTTGGACTCCTGAGGCCGTGCCCAGACCCATGATGCTTCCCCCAGTCCCTGCTCTCTGACGGTTTTCTGAACACCCACACACTCCCTCGGGTACACTCACCACTCGGAGTCCTGCCCTCGTCCTGAATTTTCTCCACACAAGTGCTGAGTCTTGCTTTCTTCCAGAGAAATTCCAGAACATCTTACCTTTTTTCCTCTCTTGTTTTCACCTTGCCCCTATTTCTTTTGCTTTATTTCTTATTCATTTGGAGATGAGATGATAGAATAGAAAATAATAAGTGTGAAGTTATGTTGCAGAATATGCCTGTGTTTTAAATGTTTGATAATAGTATGAAGAGGATAATGCTTGTAACAAAAAATAAGTATGAATAATTACTGCTTTTTCTGTCCCCATCAATTGGTAAAATAATGTATAATAATAATAATGAATGTATATTCATATTGGTAATCTAGTTACAGAATACATAAATAAAAACTGAACAGAATTTTCCCAAATACATAAATATATAAAACAAATATCATACCTAGAAGGTATAGAGAGAAAAGAATGTCATATGATATGTGAAGCAAGAAAACATTTGTTTGGATAAGAGATCCAAATGGAAATCCTTGCTTTATCAGGCAGTTGCAGTCCTGCAAACCAGTGCTTGAAACAGTTCTACATGAATCAAAGCAAATGTTACTGTAAGAAATAATGGTAAACACTCCCAAATAGCACACATGAATAGTAACACTTAAAAGAATATAATATAGCATCCATAAAAAAGAAATAAAGACATCCAGACCCCTCGGTTACTTGGGCAAACATGTAGGACGTGTGAAATATGCGAGCGGAGCTAGCCTGGCAGGCACACTGTAGTGTTGTGTGAGGGAAGGAGGAAGAGAGTAAAGGACATATGGAGGGAGGGGCAGAGAGAGAGGAGCGCTCACATCCTTGGGATGGTGGTCTGTATTAGGTGAGGACCCTGTTGGAGTGATCAAGCCATCCATTTCCAGACATCCCTAGGGGTATATGGCTATGAAGAACTTTCCTCAGGCTTGTCTTGTGTGTGTTTTCTGTTTGTTTTTAAATCTAGAGCTGCAGGGTCCAATATGGTAGTCATCAGTCATATGTGTCTATTTAAATTAAATTTAATAAAATTAAAACTTCAGCTCCTCAGTCACACTTAGCCACATTTCAAATACTCAGTAGGCACACATGGCTAATGGCTACCATACTGGATGGCACAGAAAGTTCTGTAAGACAGCCGTGAGAGAGTTTACCATGTCCTGCTTTCTCATGGTAGATTTTTGAGTGGCAGGTATTTCCAGATGAAATAACTGGCCATCTTAGTGCCTTCTTCAAAACCTGAATTATTATCCTCAGAGTTAGCCAGATCATAACGTTGTGGTTGGTCTGTTCCTTAGTGTTCTCTGGAGTTGACCCTCCTGTGGCACCGGGGCTGAAATAACAAATATTACCCTGGACAGCTCCTTCAGATTGCCAAGTAGCTCACTCAAGGCCCCTTCTTGCACTTCATCACAGCTGACGTGCCTCCCACACTGTTCTTATGTGTAGCTCATTCGTCTTCCCCGACTTGGATTCTGAAAACCTGGTGAACAGAGTCACAAGGGGTGCACTCCACTTTGTTCCAGCAGCTCCTCTGAACTTTTCTCATCCAGCATGATGTAGATAGGTCTAATTGTTGTTCTTATTTGTAAGATCTATTTATAAGTACTATTGAGAATATCTGATATGTTTTTCTCCACCAAGCAGCCTTTAAAAATTGGCCTCAGAACTTCTGAAGAAACTAGAAGAATGTAAAAATAGAGAAGAGTTTAAAGAAAGGCATTCTATGAAGCTTAGGGAAAAAAATGAAATACTGAACACGTGTGGTAGTGAGAAGAATGAGAGTTTTTTAGGGAACTAGAAGTCGTAAGACATTATATCTCCAGACCTCACAATTCACAGGGCTGCTCAGGGTGACTCCTTGGAGATCGGGTCCTGGTTCTTCTCCTGTCTTAGACCTCGTCATGACAGAGCAGGGCTCATGTAAGCCCTTGTGTGAGTAGACATGGAATTGGAAAAGGTCCCTCTAAGACAAATGTCAAAGAGCGTACTTCCTATATTTTCTTCTTAGAGTTTCATGTCTTAGATTCAAGTCTTTAATCCATTTTGAGTTAATTTTTGTGTATGGTGTAAGATAAGAGTCTACTTTCATTCTTTTGCATGTGGCTGTCCAGTTTTCCCAAAACCATTTATTAAAGAAAATTTCCTTTCTCCGTTGTATGTTTTCAGCTCCTTTGTCAAAGATTAGCTGTCTGTAGATGTGTGGGTTTATTTCTTGGCTCTGAATTCTGTTCCATTGATCTGGGGGTCTGTTTTTCTGCCGATACTATGCTGTTTTGGTTACTACAGCTTTGTAGTATATTTTGAATTCAGGGAGTGTGATGCCTCCAGCTTTGTTCTTTTTCCTGAGGATTCCTTTGGCTCTTCAGGGTCTTTTGTTCTTCCACATAAATTTGCCATTTGAGACAACATGGATGGACCTTGACAGCATTATGCTAAATGAAATAGGTCAGACAGAGAAAGACAAATACCGTATAATTTCGCTTATATGTGGAAGATAAACAAGCAAATACATAGATCAGGAGAACAGATTGGTGGTTACCAGAGGGAGAGGGAGGCAAAAGGGTAAAGGGGCACATGTGTATGCTGATGGATAAAAACTGGACGGTCGGTGGGTAGTGAACACGGTGCAGTCTATACAGAAACTGAAATATAGTGATGTACGCCTGAAATTTACACAATGTTTTAAGCCAATATGACCTCAATAAAATAATTAAAAAAAAAAAACATTTCCTCTGCTTTCCTGCTGCCTCTCGGTGGATTTTGAGGAAACACTCCCTGTTTGCATCACAGTGCAACCTAGGATTACCTCTCCACCTGGCCTCTGACCCCTCTCAGCCCTGCTGAGGACTGGCTCATCACAGTGCAACCTAGAGACACAGGCCTCTCCATCTGGCCCCTGACTCCTCTCAGCCCTGCTCAGGGCGGCTCAAACCCCTGCTGCTTAATTATCTCTCACCTCTAAAGCCCTTCTTAGATGCAGTCGGACACGTCAGGTGGTCCATTAATCAACACCTTCTTGCACCAGGTGAGCCTTCGGGGGCCCTCTGTCCTCGTCCTGCAGTCTGAACTGGTTTCTCTGCAGATGAGCTGCCGTCTTCTTGGGACTTACCTGCCTCCTGGAACTCCTTTGCCTCCCTTCTGTCAGGTCCTTTTTTTCTTGCATTCTGAGTCTTCTTTTCCTTGGTTTATTTTCTCTTAGCTTTTTAGGATAGGATTTGTGGGAGGTAGTTTTGTTTGTTTGTTTGTTTTTGTATATCTAAAATATCCTTTATCTCTCTTCAACCACTTGTTTAGTTGTGGATAACATTCCAGTTGGAAACCTTTTCCTTCAGAATATTGAAGGCATTGCTCCATTTTCCTTAAGTTTACCAGAAGTCTGCTGGCATTCGAATTTCAATTTACAAAAAGGATTGTTCTCCCTCCCCCACCTCCATAAGAGTCTGCCCTGGACGTTTTCAGGACTTTCTCTTTGCCCCTTATATTCTGCCGTGGGCCTTATTCGTCCGCTGGTTCACTCTGGAAACTCACGTCTCATTGCTGGGACAGTCCCCAGGCTGTTTCTTCCGCAGGGCTCTCTCTTGTGTTTGCCGGTGCTCTTTCCCACACGGATGCTCAGAGTTCTCTCCTAGCTTTCAACTCCTTGTCTTTTGTTCTCTTCTGTGGACTGTTCCTCAACTTTGTCTTCCAGTCCTTTGATTGGAGTTTCTAATTATAGTATGATTTTTTTGCAGTTTCTGAGAAGGCTTCCTTGCTCTCTGATTTGTGTTTATTGCCTCCTGTTCTCATTTGATAGATAAGAGTTCGAGGCTGATTTTTCCCTGCTCCCTGCCTCGACTTTTTTCCCGTTTCTTGTGTTTTGATTTGATTTTTGGTTAGATTGGTTGACTTCTTTCTGTCATATGAAAGGCATTTCTCAAATCCTGGCAGTCTCTCTCTGCGCTCACTCCTGAGAGTGAGGCACCGGAAAGCTGGTGCGCGGCTGTGTGAGCACACTTGGGGCCTGTCAGTCGCTGAGCTTCCTGGACAGTGGTCAGGCCAGGACCGGACAACGCTGAGGAACCCTCGTCACCAGCAGTAGGCCTCTTCTTCTAAGTTCCTTCCAGCAGAGACAGTGCTTCCAAATTTCTCCCGATGTGTTTTTATGGCATCCTCTGTCTACAAGCTCTTGGCTCTCAGCTTGTGCATTTTCCAGCTTCAAAACTGTGTTGACTTATCTGCTATCATTTCTTCTCTTGTGCTTTGTCTTTATGCATTTATATCCTTTTATTCATTTATTTTTCTAGTAGTGAGAGAAAGGATTTATTATCAAGGAAAAAGGAAAAATTCAATTTTCCAATCTGCCATGTTTTCTCTATTTTATTTTATTTATTTATTTATTTTTGGTGAGGAGATCAGCCCTGTGCTAACATCTGCCAATCCTCCTCTTTTTTTGCTGAGGAAGACTGGCCCTGGGCTAACATCCATGCCCATCTTCCTCCACTTTATATGGGACGCTGCCACAGCATGGCTTGCCAAGCAGTGCGTCGGTGCGCGCCCGGGATCCAAACCAGCGAACCCCGGGCCCCGCAGCAGAGCAAGCGTACTTAACCGCTTGCGCCACCGGGCCGGCCCTCTAATTTATTTTTAAAACTTTGTTTCCCCCCCAAATAATACTTCAGCTAATAGTATATGATGTTATTTCTAACACTGCAATTGTT